TTAAAAAAGTTCTTTATTTACGCTACGGAACCATTTTGGTGGTGCCAAACTTAAAATAGTTTGGTGGGCCATCACTAAACCGGAATGGCTTGGTGGGCTACCTTTTTTTTTTTCAGTGTAGTTTCTTTTGGTAGTCGAATGAATAGAAGATCATGACTGTATAAGCGACAATGAAAGAAAACCCAATCGTTCAGTTTGAAAGTCGAGCGGAGGCGAAAGGAACAATAGAGACAGCATGGCAACGGCTAGCCGTGAGTGACCGACCGAAGGGAGGTCGACGAACGACTAGGCGTTTAAATGCTAGATTAATACTAAAGTGTACGCTTAGAACAACCTTGCCAGGCGTCAGATAATTTTGAAAAGGATTTGACGAATGGATATTCCTCAATGAAAATATTCGACAAGGTATCATTTTGTCGACAGGAGAGAAAAGAATTGGATTATCGCTGGAAGACACAGGCGAATGTTCAAACTTTTCAAGCAGTCTCCTGTGTATCATCCGTCTATGAGTGACTTAGTAAAGCATTTATGAAAATTTTCATGCGCGTGATATGAAAATAGAAAAACAGATGACAAAGGTCAATGGTTGGCCGTGAGTGGCCGTCTGACTAGCCGTTGAGCAATGAATTTTTCAGTCTATATAGTTAGTGCTGGAGAATTATCCACTGAGAAATGGCTAATCGGTCTGATTCCTAAAAAGACTTTTGCATCCTATTTATTGTAGTGTGTGACATAGTGCCATGATTCATTTGAGTACTAGTAGCAATCGTAGTGCGTTTTTTCTCTTTCGAAATCTCTGAATGTGTTCAGCATTCGGAAAAGTCTTTCAGAAAAGGGTCAGCGAATCCAACGGATGAGCGTTACTTGTTATTATATCTGTTAAATAAGAAACTATAATAATTATATATTTTAGCAAAATTCTTTAATTCTGTAGTTAGAATTTTGACATCCCTCAGATCCTGAACTCCAACATCCGTGATTACGTTTTCCGTGAGATCCAACGTAGTGAGTGTCTATTCAAAGAATGAGTACTGCGATATGAGATAACTGTCATTATGTACTGTGTTATTTTCTAACGCATTAGCAAGATATTTTGCTCCCGTATCTCCAATTCGATTGTCTTGCAGCTTGAGGATCGTAAGCACCTGTAAGTAAAGTTATCGAGATGTCTTGAGTCAGAATGAACATTACTTTGTTCTGGCGCAAGGCATCACGTAGATGCTGTGCAGCTACATCTTCAAGGCTATTACTTGCGAGTCGTAGAAAAGTCAGCGTCTACATTAAAATATATGGATTATGGTATCAAATGGATGGAGAGGTAATGTGAAGTACCTTGTTATTATGTAATGCAGTAGCCAGATGATCGAGTCCAGCTGTTGTGAAGTCATTACTATCGAGACATAGTGTGGTGATAACTGTCTATATAATATAGTGCACTTCATTTGTCAAATTACGTGTAGAGAAAATAAAAGTTACCTGGTTGCTATTGAAGATACCAGCCAACTTTTCAATTCCTGTGTTTCTTATATTATTATATGCAAGATCTAATAGAGTAATACTCTATGAAGAAAATGCTGATGATCACGCGAAGCAAATAATGAAAAATACGTNATCTGTATTCTCTGTTCGATCAGTGAATTATTCAGTATTATTGTTTTCCTCAGTCTCAAAACCTTTCGACAAAGTTCCTGCGCGTTCTATCTGATGTCCATGTCAGTGTTTAATTTTATTCGACTGGTATTCGGCACATCCCTTATTATTATCTCAACAGCATTTCCAATTAATTGGACACCTGCTTTGTTGTATTATTGTCAACTTCGAACTTCGATTATCGGTTTGTGTTATTTGGGCGCAATAACAACATTATGTTTAGCAGTAATTGATCAATACTTCGCGACAAGCACTCGTCCACAATGGCAGCGATGGTCGAATATCAAACTCGCTCATCGTCTCGTATTGGTTATTACAATTATTTGGGCTTTTCACGCATCACTGTTCTTTATTTATTTCAATCAATTAGCATTGTCCAATACGTCAACTTGCATTGCAACCAATCAGATTTTTGTTCAGTATTATATTTATGGATATTTTTTCACATATGGAAATTTTTTCCCGTTGGTTTCTGCAATATTTGCTGTGTTGGCTTTTCGAAATGCCCGAAGTTTGGCAACTCGAACAAACCCAGTCGTTCGAAGAGAATTGGATAAACAACTGACTGTGATGGTTCTTGTAGAAGTGTGTGTTTACATTTGCACTTATCTCCCATTTGCTATTTCCAATGGATTTTCATCATTGAATACAAACCGCGATCCAATTCTTCTTGCACAATTGAATTTAATAAATGCAGTTACTCTGGCTATATTCACAATCAGCAATGGAGTAAGTACAGATGACAGAAATGTAAATAGAATTCGTCTGTTGATTTGTTTAGAACTCGTTTTTTACATATATTTGTGTGTCGAAACGATTTCGTCGTCAAGCAAAATATGTTTTCTACGAGACTTATACGAATCGATGTGGAAAGAATCGAGTCAATCCAAATGAAATGGAAATTCAAGTAATGACAGATAGTTAAAGATTAAAAGACAACGCACTTTGATCTTTGACGGGACATTATATGAAAAAAGAGATCTCTCGTTGTTGAACTTTGAAGATAAATTATATTGGTAAGAAATTGCGCATGAGAAATAAATTCTCGTATAAGTCATATTAGAGCAGTCGAAGTGGATGATGCTTGTTGTCTCGATTTCTTTCTTTTTATCTTTATAAATAGAAACTTTTGTATGGATTGTCTGACTTCTTCTTCTGTGTTGTATTTGATTTCTATCGGAACTGTTCAGAGAAAAATATATCGCGTACCTAATCGATCGACTGACCATTTCTCTTTTTCTTATCATTATGCGAAAAGAAAACGATTTTCAAAGTCTTTTCAATTTATTAAGAGCCCCCACCCCCTCAGAAATCGATCTCGTGAACAGTTCAACGGACGTTGATGAAAATTTCAGGACATAGGAAACTTANAAAACGTTTTCTTTCAACATGTAATCTTCCGTGTTTCACCAATGGAAATCGATGTTTAAATGGTGGAATATGTACAAATCATAAATGTAATTGTTCAATTTTACCTTCATGTTCGGGATTACCTTGTGCAACTGTTGGAAACAAATGTTTCTTTGGTGGTGTTTGTACATTGTGTAAAGAAGGAAAAAGATGTCGAAAATAAATCTTTCGATTTCATTGAAGAAACAGAAATACATTGGTTTTTTTTCTTTCTCCAATAAATTTGCTTATTCTTTAACCAAAAACTAAATTCAGTTATGCAGATAATATCTGCTCGAGTGAAATAGTGTGACAGGTACTTTATAAAAAAAGGAAGACTATCGATTTAAGAATGTTATTGGTTTTGTAGGAAGAATGAAATTACGTGCGACCTTCTTATTTAGTAATGTCACTTGATGTTTTTTCCAAGAAAAGTGATTTGTATTAACCGGACGGAAGTTGTTGAGATGTTTACAAAGAAAACTTTTCTATCAGATAGTGTTTTGTTTGTGTAGATAAGCATAGAGATGATATTTTTGCATCCGTTGTGATCTTTTCTTTGGTTGGAATTGAATAAACTGATTGATTGTATAAAGTAATAATAACGCCTGGAGGAATTTTGAGTTCGTGTACTACTTAACCGAAACATCGTAATAAGAACCCAAATCTTTGTGAAAAGAATAAAGACGATCGATTATTTCCTCGGGAATATTTAATTTTCTTTTTTCTTTTTCACATTGATCTTTAATCATCATTCGAAAGATTAATAAGAGCAATAGACTTCTTTACCTTCTCCGAACGTGATTTTCTTCATTAATTAGATATTTTTTTCAAAGAAAATCAGCATGTAATGATTAAACATGAAAGAAATTTGTAAAATAGAAACATCTTATCTTTAATTAAAAACAACTTTACTATTTCGTTCATTTCCGTACTTTATATTAATTATAAATCAGATCTCTTCTCTTCTCTTTCTGTTAAAAATACATAGACAGAATTCATTCATCTTTCATTCCTTTTATTAGCTGAGTCTACAGACATCGTCTTCGCTGATTTTGTCCTTATAAAAAAACAAAATCAATTTACGATTTCGAAGTTCATTCTTATTTATTCAAACTAAATGTCATCTATCCCAATTCTCTCGTTAATTCAAACGAGTTTAATACGTTATGGAACATTAGTTATCTTAATATTTGGTTTTGTTGGTAATATCGGTGTTGTATATTTATTTAGTCATCATCATAAAAATGGTTGTGCACTTTATTTATTATGTGCAGCATTGTTTAATATTATTTATTTATCTGTTAGTATTCCGTATGGATTATATGTTTTGGATAATTTTGATCCATCAAGTTCATCTCTTTATGTTTGTAAATCACGTTTCTTCTTTTTTCATGTTTGGGGACAAATATCGAGATNTTGGAAATAGGTTGAAATTAACCGATTTGGGAATCGTAACAAACGATCTTTCCAAGTAAAAAATCTTGAAAAAGTAATTTCTTCGAAATTTGTTTTTCTTTCATTTTGTTCAGATTAACATCTTGCTACACAGGTCGGCGACGTATCACTGTCGGAACACGTTTTTATAGTGGTCCAGAGTGCATTACAGGTCAATATTTAGTCACCTTGAAGACAGATATCTGGTCATTAGGGGCGATTCTCTACTATTTAACATACGGTATGCCACCTATTCATGAGAGTCATCAACCTCCATCAGGTCGTTCACAAACACCTTCGCTTTTAATTGAAAATATTCTTGAAACGTGTTTGGTCAAAAATCCCAACCGTCGCCCATCACTGCAGTGGATTCAGAAGCATCCATTTACAAATACAAATGCCCTAGCATGACATCCTTGATCATCATCATTTAATCACCATGTCACCGTGAAGAAAAATATTTCTTGTTCGTCAATCTATTTCACTTTATTCACCAATAAACGTTGAGGGCTTTTTTTCTAAAACTATGACTTATGTTCACGTCCGTCTTTATCGATGATCATTCAGACTCGAAGAAAGCGATTTTGATTCAGGCACAAACAGTTTTTCGTATAAATACGCGCAAAAGGCTGTTTTTTTTTCACACAAAATGACGACGAACATCGGTGCAACGTTAGGTATGGTTGGTTTTTATAATAAAAACTCTTCCCTCGAACTAGCATTGATTGAATCGGCAATGCTATTGGTTAAAAGGGCAATTGAGAAATTGAAAATCGATTTCTTATCGTCTTGCTTAGCTTTAGCAGACTTCGAATCTTCACATGGAGCAAATTTCATTAGGGAAATTCAAAATTGGAAGAAATCTTTACTTTTTATTCATAATGATTTACCAACGAACGATTGGAAACAATTTTTTGATATAATTATATCAACAAGACCAGTCATACCATGGATTGGCGAATGGTCGCTCGTTTTACGAAGCTTGTCTTCAACCAAATTTGTTAACTGTTGGTTTTTCTTCTGCTTCAATCCATTGTCTTTCACGAAAGCCTTGCAATATATTAAATCATTGCATGTCGGTGTATACGCAAGGCAAAAGAGCTCGAGTTCTTCCGAAATCAATCGAGAATAGATTATGAAAGTTTTTTGAAAAATCGCTCCATTGAATTGGTTAAAAACGGAATTCTTATTTTAGTCATCAATTGTCTTAATAAAAATGGTTTAACGATGACTAAAAGCGTATATGAGAGCTACTATACGAATGTGTGTGACATTGTTCATTGACGAACGACATTAAATTAGATGAAGATACAGTACCCGTTTACATTCGTTCATATGAGGAATGTGTTGATATGGACCTTTTTTAGCAAGCATTCATTTGAATTAATTGACTCGGCAACGTCCTGTGTGGATTTCAAGTTTTAAGATCAACTAATGAAGAAAGAAATAACTTCGGAATACATTTGCTAAAGCTCAAATGGGTGCTATACAAAGTACTACTCAAACGATTTTACAACAAACATTGGAATTCAGTAAAAAGCGATCAGATGACGAAATTATTCAGTTAACTGACTGTTTCTGGAATTCTTACTATGATGAGGGTGAGAGTGTGTGTTCAGTGAATACTTTCCAAAAAACTCTCATTGTTTCAAAGTATGCTCGAAATTGTATTTTAGACAATAAGAAACAATATTTTGCCC